ATGTTTACTAGGGTTGCCATATGTTTAAACAAGCAAATTCAACTTTAATTGTGGCGATTAGGTAACTAATATATGTATCACAATATGGGTGCCACACTAAAGGGGTTTAGCAAGTTTTAAAAAAGTTTTGAAAAAGGTTATGGATCAAAAACAACGTTATATATATATGGGAGAGGGGAAGGCGGGACGTACGGGTTATCTGATCGGCCCAAAAGTTTTACTTTAACTTGCTAATAGCATGAAGAACATACGTAACAAGTTTGAAATTAATAACTTTCTTTTTAGAATTTATGCCAAAAGAATTTAAAATCCGGCCAGTGTGTAATGTCTTAAATTTATGTGTGAAGTTTTATTCTCAAAAACCGATGAGAGTAAAAGGGCACGAATTTCGATGTGAAGCAAAACTCTCTGGGAAGACAATATCTTTGCATAATTAGGTTTGCTCCACACGAGCCCGCGTGTACCCGCGTTCCTCACGCTAGAAAAATGGGTAATAGAGAGCGAATACGTTCCACTTCTGGATCGTAAATGTCTTCTTCTTTGTGCACAAAACAGCCCGGACTCTTTTTCCGGGCACAAATGAAATAACAGCTCTCTTTTAAATCTGAAAGCAAATTTTATATGTATTTATTTGGTACTTTTATTAGCCATATAAGATAAATACACGTAAAATCATTGTTTAGAGCTGATTTGTTGATTCCGGGCACGAAATGTGGTTTTTTGCGTTAATCACGCTCTGGGCACTTTTGGCACGTGTTACCACATTTTTGACACTTGTGAGAGAGTAACTTGTTTTTACGCTCTAATTACCGGAGCAGCCCGGAAAGCGTGTGAAACAAAGCTATTGTATCATGGTGTTAACATGCTTATTATTGCTTTCTGACAGGCATAAGCAGAGAGTAAGCAGGTCTTTAAAACAGGGAACGTTTCGAATATATGGACATCAAAACTAAATTAAATAGTTTAATTGTGAAAAACTTAAAAATTTTAAATTACTGGCTTTTTTCTCCAAATAATGTTGCCCTATTTTGCTCACCCCTTTCAAAGCTTTACGTGTTCATTTCTCAAAATATTGCCCTCCGACTAAGCAAAAGTGCGTTTACTTTCTACTAGTATAGCCATTTTGTATTAGTGCAAATGTTACAATATAAGGCAACATTTTTCAATAGAATGGAATACGCCATAAGTTTGTAATTGATCTATTTTTATACCCGAGCGCACTTGTGCACAAGGGTATATTAATTTTGTTCACATAACGGTTGTTTGTAACAGCCAAAACGAATCGAGATAGATATAGACAAATGTATACATAAATGCTCAGAATGAATAGAGAAGTCGATTAAGCCATGCCTGTCTGTCCGTCCGTCTGTCCGTCTGTCCGTCCGCCCGTGTACACGATACCTCGAGCAAAAAATGAGATATCTCAACGAAATTTGCTATGTAGGCTTCCATTTATCCAAGGTAGGTTGGTATTGAAAATGGGCGAAATCGGACTGTAACCACGCCCACTTCCCATATAACGGTAATTTAGAGAAATACAAAATCTTGTGTATATCTTGTTAACCGGTGCACCAATTTCTTCCAAGCTTGGCACAGTTGTTGGCCTTGGTACAGCAAACTAAATGGCCGAAAATATTAAAAATCGGACAATAACCACGCCCACATCCCATATAACGGTAATTTAGAGAAATACAAAATCTTGTGTATATCTTGTTAACCGGTGCACCAATTTCTTCCAAGCTTGGCACAGTTGTTGGCCTTGGTACAGCAAACTAAATGGCCGAAAATATTAAAAATCGGACAATAACCACGCCCACATCCCATATAACGGTAATTA